CGTAGTTCGACGCTGCAGGATGTCCGTCAAAACCCGTCGCCTGCCTTAAAAGAATCCGCGCGCATGGGTACTGAGTTCGGTTGCAAAATTTCTATGCTGTGTGCAGACTGTTTCACCATGTCAAAACAAACCTGTGCAAAACAAGTGCAAGTGTTTCCAACTACGGACAAGGAACCTTTGGGAGGTCACGAAAACTAACTTCTTTCCTTTCCCTTTCAAGAAAACTGCTGCAGTGTCCTGCACGGCCAAGTTCCAACAGGCCCTTGTCACGTTCAGGGAACAGACTCACAAAGCCTCGTCTGTTCCTCAAAAGAAACGGACGGATGCTCTGAACAAGCTTGTCCCAGCTGCTGCCCTTGCCGTGCAAGACGTCTACACTCTGGATTCACTTTGGAGCAAATCATCTGGCGGTCGCTAGGTCGACTTTCCCAAGCTCATCTTCCAGGAAACGAACACAGTCCAGCAGCCGCTTGTGTGTGGCAGCATGAGAGGCTTCATCGCGCACGGCGATGGCTTCCATTCTGGATTCCACGGAAAACGTGGCATCTGGCGCGTGACCTCACAGCCACAAGCCGCCTGGGCTTGGCGCATAGAGGTGCTTCTCACCAGTTCCAGACCTCGTTCAAACTTCTGCAACTGTTGCAAGTCGAAGAACTGCTGACCTGGACGCCACCGGCACAGCCATCTCAGACTGCCTGATCTCGTCATGCGTCATCGCCTGACGCAGCTCGTTGACGTCGTCTAGCAGCGCCAACCATGACGCCAAGACTTCACACCAAAGGTGGTTACTTCGCTTGCCCATGCTGTGGTGGAGAGGCACTCTGGAGCCCAGGTCCCCAAAGGTCGAAGTCCTCTTTCCCTTCTTCGGAGACGGGTGTGGCGGTCTGCTTGGCTCGTCACTTCCACAGGCGTGTCACATGCGCTCCGCAACCTAAAATCGTTCGCCGGATGCTTCTGAGGCAAACCTGCCGATCCCATCGCGAATGCAAGCGGCGTGCAAGCTGAGGATGATAACCACTGGGAATGGATGCCCATGACACTCAGATGGTGCCCAGCGGAACGCTATGTTCGGCGACTTCAAGCTTTCTTTTGCGCAGTATTTGATGCTTTTCACGAAGGAGAAACTTCAAGCAGCCTAGCTGCAAAAATCTCGCAAAGACAAGGTACAGGGCATACGGAAAATGTGGATCACCCGCCTGAGCACAGGCTGTTTGCAAAGTGCTCTAGCGTTGTGCCCCAGTCGTCTACACACTACGTCCATCTCGTCAAAGGCTAGGACAGTCCATGACGCTTGACTCACGCAAGCAGAACAGTAGCTCCATCAAGATGCGCATGATTCTTAGGAGATCCACCACACCAAAGATTGTGATGACCTTGCCATCGAACTGCCGGCCCGAATCTCGCGATCTGCTGCTGTGGCTCGAGCATAACTCAAGAAGACAAACTTCCAACTCTGAACACTCACGCTCACAGCACCAAAAGATTGGAGTGTTCAAAAAGTGTGTGCTGCGTGCGCCGACATGAATGTCAACTGTTGTTTTTCCGAAAGCTTTGAACTTCAAAAGTCGTGATGTCTTTGCTTGCGCATGTCAAGCAATCGCTTCGTCCGCTGTCCAAGCCTTCGGAAACGATGTAGCCCAGTCGAAGATGTACAGTTCTACGTTGCCTAGCCGTGAGCCAAAGACCCATGATAAGACGTCAGCTTTCTTTTCAAAGTGCAGTCATGGACTCAGTACGTTGTTGTTTGATGAAAAGAGTGAGGCAAATCGCAGCGATGGCAGTGACGAAGATTCCACTCCGCGAGCTCACTGAAGCTTCGTAGGCAGGGTGTTGAAGATTTTGGTTTTGCCTTTTTTAGGATGCTCCGTGTATTCATCATGATATTGCTTCATCGTATTTCATGCACCCATGAGTTTCACAATTGACTCCGCAAAACTCCGCAGGCATCATTGAGCGTTCAAAAATTTGCACGGAGATGAGCTGTAATGTTGTTGGAATGTACATTGGATCGCGCTGACCACAAAACACAAGGTTTTCATTTTCGGGCCACATGGGTCTGGCCCAAATGGACTAGTGACCAGTGAGCTGGCCCCGTGCGTTGAAAGAAACTCAACTAGTAAATCAGATGACACATGATCAAAACATTAGAGATACAAGAGCCAACCAAGCCCGGACCAGCCAGCCATCCAACCATAACAATCTGACTCCAACCTATGTGTTGAAGACGGCGAGACACCATCATCATCTTCTTCCCGCGCGGCAGAGAGGGTCTCTGTCCTGCGGTCGCCTTGTCATCTCTCTCTGATGGAGAGGCGGCCAATCTAGTTGGCAGGCACTAATGCCACGTATGGGCGGTCAGCAGCAAAAGGTCGCACCGTGGTGCCAATTAAAAGAATTTGCAGCCAGATGCTTACGATTCTGGCTCTTGTAGATGCAGCGTTAAACACGTTTTCTCAGTCGTCCAGGGACTCCAGATTGACATGTGTTGGAGTCGGCACTGGATACAGGTTCACCCGGATGGCGCGAGTCTGCTGCATCTCCATCTCCATTGATGTTAGACGAGCCTCGAGCAGACGGATGGTGGCCTGTAACTCCGCTGGTTCCGGCTGCGAGTTCTCGACCTTCTCGACCTTCGCAATCAGAGCTCCAAGCTGCGCACGTACCAAGGTCAGCTGAGACGTGAGGAGGGAAACCCAGTTGACTTCCTCCTTTTGCTCTGCACTCTGCGTCGGCAAGCTGGCCATGCGGGGCTTGCAAAGGAGGGCTACGGTTACAGTTACGGGCAGAGGGGTGCAGTCCTGAATGAGAAAGTGCTTCAGGGCTGGCGGTATCTCTGACAACAAGCACTACATATGCATTGGCACTGAGATGATCAAGCTGCGCACTGGTCATGAGATGCGGGTCTTTGTCATCGTCGAGCAGCCAGCTTTGATCGGCTCGGAGCTGTACCACTGTCGTGTAGTGGCCGGATGTAGGTGTGTTGCCGTGATGCTGTATGTATGCAAGGACCCGATACCGAACCCAAACAATGTCAAGCCTATCAGAGTGTGAAAATCTGGGCAGGCTGATGTGATGCGTTAGCAAATAAGCTTGAGTCTGCTTCACAGGCCACCCCGGGGCGTGGTAAAAGAACCTGGGCAGTTGTAGGAAAAGCCACGGAGGCAATTCGGTGAACGCTTGCATGACGTCCTGAGAGTGCCACCGATCAACAAGCTCCTGCACCTCAGGTGTTGGGTGTTGGACATCCAAGGGTAGCTGGATGCAGCGTTGGGCACCGACTGACGCTGTGGACATAAGTCCTTCGGAAGTGTGCTGTCTTGTTTCCCAACAGCCTGGCAGAGGGGACGCGAGCAAGCGGGGTTGTAAAAAGTCAACCAACTCCGCAACGTCATGTTGATGCTGGGGATGGGGCCAGCCCAAAAGGCGGAGCCCCATCAGACGCGTGGCCACATGTGGCCGCTCTGATTTCACCCAAAAAGCCTGTGGCAGCATGTGGCAGCAGTCGGCAGCGCGGGTCGCTAGCCACATACAGTTAAGGAAGGAGTTGAGGTAACAACTGTTCGACCCGCCTCGAAAGCGTATGCACGGTAGCTCCGAGGGACCTGTCGCTGCGTCAGTTGCGGTGGCAGGAGCCAAGACACCTGCATTGTCACACTTAGCGGTTGGTGACGATGGTAGCGGAGCTGTCGACGCAGCCGAGGACCCGGCTATCGCTGTCGCTGGTAGAAGAGGTTGGCCAATTGCTTGGCCGCTGGTGTTTGTGGCAGCGTGTCTTTTTTCATCGAGACTCCGATGAGGCTCATGATGGCACTGCCGCAGAGGCGCTCGAAGTGGTGATAGATCTCCGTCAGGGACACCTCCAGAGCAAAGGTTGCTATGTTGGCTCCTTGCTGCTCCAGTATGGGCAGTTGCACCGTGGAGTTGAATCGCTGGATCGCCTCCCCAGTAAGATGCTCGAGCAAATAGTTCAGGATGCGAACAATCTCCGCGTGTTGTAGCGGAGATTTGGTGGTGTCTACCACCAGTCTCCGCTCGGTGGGGTTCCAGGTCCGGTAGCTCCATTCGGAGTTGGTCGTCAGCCATTCTGCCGTGATCATCTTCTGCTTGTTCTCCTCTGTGGCCACCGCTTGCTGGGCCAGCTTGAGGAGTGTGCTGACCATGCTCGAGAGGAGGACCGTGTGCAAAGGGGAGCGCACCGTCTGATTCTCTTGAGACTTCTTGTTGTTCCACTCCTTGGCGACCCGCATCAGGGCTCCCAGGGTGCCGTCCTCTCCCTGCCTCATGAACAAGACAAAGCCCTTGTCGTGCCTCAACCTGCTGATGGTCTGTTCCTGCTGGAGAACAACACGGGTGAGAAGTCGAAGTGGGTCTTGCTGCTGTGGTGGGCGGGGGTCCGGCGGCGTTGCTGCCGAATGGATGGCCTCGGTGTCCTTGGTAGGACTGCGGATGCTGTCCCGGCCGTCGGGGCGGCTGGTTCGGTCGAGGTCGTTTTTGTGAGCGGTGGTCCGAACTCAGGGAGGCTGTTGGGCTGAGCAGAAACTCTGGAGCCGCCGGCCAACAGTTGGCGAATATTTCCGCCTCCTCGTTGAGTGCGAAGTCCTGACTGCTCCCGTACATCCTGGCAGTATGTAACGGCAAGACAGAGCTGCACGAGGGGAGTGCATTGGACGACGTGTCTACCTGGGGCCCCGACTTTATGGCCGCACCAGATGCAACCGCTGCCCCGCCGGAGCTGAGACTTGAAACTACTGCACAGGGTGAGGGATCTTGGTAGGAGGGTGGTCATCTCATGTGAGTGTGCTTTATTAAGATGCTGCTTCATATGACGAAAGTCAGCAACCCAAAAGTGGCACAACACACAGTGCTGAGTCAGCTCGAGGCGAACGGCTGAGATCTGCAGCCACTTCTCCCAGGAATCAAGGCTGCGCTGAAAGGCCGAGCGGTGCACTAATGGCATGTTGTTGAAGAAGAAAGCCCAAGCCCTGCCGTCGGTGGAGGCTTGATGTCAGCCGGGGTGTGGTCTGCCAGCAGGCATTTGCAAGCGCCGGATTCGATGTGTGCCACTAGGTGCGCCCACCTCCAGAACTGCCGTTCACAGAGCTGGCATGCTGGCATGCCTGCTTTGGAGTGAAGCTCCGGCTGAAACACCGTGGGGGTGCGAGTGGAGTGCTGAGGCTTGGACTCATGCTTGAGACCACAGTGAACTCGCATGGCATTCTCCGTGATAAAAGTCTCCTGGCAGAATGGGCAGCTGACAGTGGGCTCCTGAGGAGGGGCCCTGGCAAGGCTTTCGGCAGCCTCCAGTAAGGTGACCTCAAGATGAGTCGCCTGTCGTCGTAGATGCTCCAAGACCTGAGTGGTGGTAGTGATGTCAGGTGAGTGAGTGGCATGATGATTGAGTTTGTCAAGGAATTGTTGCTGGGTTTTCTGCATCATCCAACCCGGCATTGGGAGGGCTGCTTGTCGCCAGACCTCGCCGGTCGTAACATGAGTAAGATGAGCCGGGATTCTGAGTATGGCACGTAAGTGCCGTGTCAGGGTAACAGTCAGAGAGGCGAGGGTGCTGGATGTGACACCGACGATGTGTTGGGCATACAACGCACTGGTACAGATGCAGGCCTGCCATAGTCGCAGCCGGTGATGGACGGCCAGATGGTGGGAGCCATTCAAGAGCTTCCTCAAGCCCTGATACCTTGCGGTGCAGGCTTTGAGGCGGTGCTGCATATTGCGCTGCAGGCGGTGACGGTAAGTCACGATGGTACCCAGGTATTCATGCTGTTCCTTTATGGGGATGCCACACTCACGGCCATGTACAACGAGTTTCAGATGCAGCTGGCCGGCCTTCATGAAGGTGTGCTCCTGCTTCAATCGCTTGGCATCCTTGCCCACAAGCTTGAACAGGATGGCGGTTTTATTGTAGTTGATGGTCATGTCAAGGGTCTCAAGTGTTTCAAGAATGAGGGAAATGTCAGCTACGGCTTGCGTAAGGTCCTGGGCAGTACGGAGTTCCCAGGCGCCCCAGACGTCGTCTGCGAAGAGCGTCAGGACCTGTTGGATCCATGCTTCGCTGCGGTGTTCTTGGAGTATGGAGAGGAAGGCGAGCGAGAAGTAGTTCCACAGGTATGGCGCAATGACACATCCCTGCTTGATGCCGTTCGAGGTGGTGGTGTAGCCGGTGTGCTGTCCCACGTGATACACATATTGTGCTCGAAAGTGCAGCTGCTGTATGATGGTAATGATGTCAGGTGGTACACTGGTACACCACGTTGGGCCATGGAATGGTAGATGTGCGTGCGGGTGACTCCATCGAAGGCTTTGGAGAGATCAAGAGATAAACCGAGTCCCCCTACTGCAGAGCGCTCACGGCCGCCAGCCTGCTTTTGGAAGCGGGTGCATTGGGTGTCCTGCACCAGCTTGGCCACAGCCTCGAAATGCATGTGAGCTCGCAGGAGAGCATCAGCGGTGCCTCTGTGCTTTGCATAGGCAAACTGAGGAGTCATGCGCAGAGCAGGCTCGAGGCCACGGAGCAGATGATGGCGCAGGCTTCCTGCCAGTGCTTTGCTGGCGGGGCTGGAGAGTCCTATGGGCCTAAGGGAGGAGACGTCTAACTGGGGTTTGCCTGGCTTCGGGATCCAGACAACATAGCTGGACTTCCAATCTTCATCCAGTTCGCCCAAGCTACCTGGTTGCAGGTGATGGCTAAAGGCTTGACTTAGAACAACCCCAAGCTCGCGAGAGCAAAGTTTCCACACGGCTGCTGGTGCTATGTGGCGCGGTACTGCCTTGGAGAGGCCAAGCTTGCCCAGCTCCGCCGTGAGATCCTGGGCGGAGATCGTCGGAGTGGTGAGGAGGGGAGTGCTGGGGCGGGTGTCATCCTTGGCAGCAAAGGTTTTGTTGCCGTACGCAACGATGTGCTGAAGTTGCTCCGGGCCGGTCAACAGCCGCCCATCGTCACCTCGAAGCCGACAGGCGATGTTACGAGATTTCGGGGATAAGCGTTTAATGATGAGGAAGAGGCTTCTTTGATCATTTCGCAGGGCCGCTTGCTCCGCTTGATCGACCTGAGACTCGTAAAATTGCTTCTTAAGTCTGTGGCTTTGTTTCCGGAGAGCTTTCGATGCGCGGGCAAGGGTCGTGGCCAGCTTCCACTTGGTGAAGATGGCCCAGGGCGTGCAGGCTCGTGGCTTCTTGAAATCATGGTACAGCTGCCAAACAGAGCTGGCCGAAACACGAAAGGCAGGCTGAGCACTCACACGGTTGTCCGGGGCCGGTTGCTTCGGGAAGGCCGCAGCAGCCGCCTCTAGCAGGATACGGTTGATATGCTTATGGGCACTGGTCAAGTTGGTGACATCGACTTGTTGCAGGCGCTGGTCTAGGGATGCCTGCATGTCTTGTGCCTCCGGGGAGGCCTGGCAGACAGCCGTCTGCAGCGCGGCGAGGTCAATCATTGGCACAGCAGGGCCGTCCTGTGACGGTGACCGGCGGAAAGATTGCATTGGTAGCTGAGCACGAATGGGGTAGTGACCCGACAGGCGTCCCCCGCCTACAGGAAAGGCATGATCCGGGTAAGCACGCTTGGCTTGCAGATGGGCAGTACACTGTCTAGTGATAATGTAGTCGGTCTGCGTGCAGCCTTGCGGGGAGTAGAACGTGCCAGCAGCCCTGGTGTTCCACGTGTTCAATACACTCAACGAGTGCTTGTGCACAAGTGCAGACAAGTCCGAGTCAGGCTGGGTGGTGCCACGAGGGACAGAACAGCCTACGACTGGCGGATCGGGGCTAACAGTGGGGTTAAAGTCGCCGCAGACCAACAGGTGATGGCGTTGGGGTATCAAAAGGAGCTGCCGATCAAGGTGTTCCCATAGATTACAACGAAGCTCAAGATTGCGGGCGGTGGTGAGGCTGCTCGCCAAACATGTTGGTAAACCCCTATGATGCTTACGGGAAGTTGGGTCGTCTTAGAGGTGGCCTGCACAAGTGCCAATCGGCCGGGAAGAATGTCAAGAATGCGGGGGTCCTGAAAGCGTCGGCGGTGCAGCAGGAAAAGAATGCCGGAGCACCTGCCGTGCTCTTCAGATGTGCTGCGTCCTGTCGTGTGCATGGCTAGCCACGGACCTGTGCAGAAGTCAGATGTGTCATGCCAGTGCGTCTCCTGGATGATAATGGCATCTAAGTCCGCTTGCATATCACACCAGGCCATAAATTCCTGAAACATGGCTGAAGAAAGGCCACTGGCATTCCAAGAAAAAACCTGGAGGTGCGGAGTGAGCCTGCGTCCGCCGGGCGGACGAGGCTGCGCACGCCTGGGATTTCGGCAGAGTGGTAAGGGTAGCTGGCCGAGTGATGTTGTTGTATGCCATTTACCCCTATACCATGTGCCCTGGTTCGGTGAGGCTTGTGCTCGATGTTGTGCTCTACGAAAAGCACGCTTGACGGAACGCTTCAACGTGTTGGTGGAATGCTGCATTTCAGATGCTGACCCCCGAGGAGGCGATGGTCCGCGATGCTTCCTCGCCGCTTGCGTGGCGAGTCCCCCTCCTGACGCGGAATCAGAAGGAACCCTCACCCCACCTGCCTGTATGAACACACTTAAGGCAGGATCCGGATTTGGGACCGGATTGGCTCACAAGAGGATGGTTGTTGCACACGGCTCGCTGCCGTTGATAAGTTCGCGAAGGCACTGGTTGATGTGCAGTAGGGCTAGCTCCCGACGCCGCTCCTTCAGAGGGCGAGGCTGCTGCTGCACACTGGCTGGTGCCATGCTGGGTCCTGTGTTCGGGTTCTACTTTATGAGGCTTACGGGATGGTTTACGAGGACGGGAGGTACTAGGGCCGTAGGGATGCAGGGTGGGGAGACCTTGAAACCTGCATGCACAGAGGCTCCTTGGCCGGGCCACAAGCAATGCTCGGCAGTGGCGCCTAGGAGGCTGGTGCACCCCGTCTTGGGCGCCGCTCGTGGGTGGCCTGGAATTCCCAGTTAGACCAGTATTGTCGCCGGTCCGCCGTGAGGTACTGATGAGCCAGCTGCTGAACCACTTGCCAGGGTGAGCCCACCATTTTCCTCCTGAGTGCTCCGACCTTCGCTCCCTGGGAGCGACTAGTAAGCTCCGGTCGGGTGGTTGACAATTCCATCCGATATTGGCCGCACAATACTCCTTTTGCTTCTTCCAGGCTCGGACCACACAACACGAGGCTTGTCTCTGACCACGTGAGGGAATTGAGCGAGGCTGGTGCGCTGGAAGTCGAGCTAGAGAGGCCAACAGACGAGCTATCAGAGGACGCCCCGAACTTGCCGTTCGGTAAGGGCGGGCCTTGCACCCGCTCGTAAAAGCGGTGCCCACCTTCGGACACCTCCAGCAAGGGCCATCTGCGTGTGGGATCGGAGTCCTCGTCGCTGTCCGGGGCGGCTGGCGTGGTAGAGGTCGCGGCGGCGTTGCCTGCTCGATCTGTTCCAGATGCTGCATGCACAGGTCTTGGTGGCGGTGGTCCTTTGGGCGGGCCTGCTGCAGACGGTGCACCCCTACCGTGGTCGTGGGGTGTAGTGTCCATCCGGGCCTCGAGGTCTTCAAGCTCGGAAAGTGTGGCCCCATCATCATTGTCGTCGCCAGCATGAGAAGCCATGGCAGCATGCGTGGATACTTCGCCGAAGACAGCCCACAAGAGCCAACCAAGCCCGGACCAGCCAGCCATCCAACCATAACAATCTGACTCCAACCTATGTGTTGAAGACGGCGAGACACCATCATCATCACCATCATCACCATCATCACAATCATCACTATCATCACCATCATCACCATCATCACCGATCATCACCATCATCACCGATCATCATCATCATCATCAGCATCATCATCATCATCATCATTTCAATCATCACAATCATTATCACATCCCAACCACTTCCGCAGGAAACCAATCGCAACGCTTTCGGGAGCTTTACATGCAGTCAAAACCATAGTGACATCGAGCCAAAAACATCGTGTCGGGAAGCCAAGCATTCATGGAACGACGTCGTCATGGTTGTCATTACCAGGGGTCATCGTGGTTGTGTGAATGGTCGTCTTGGTGGCCGTTCGTCCGATGCTCTTCGTTGTTGTCGACGCCGCGTCAGTATGATACGGTGTGCAGTATGTATGCCAACAGCGCTCCCCCCACGCCTTCAAAGCATCAGTATATTTATGCCGGATTGTTTGAAGCCGGTCCCGTGGACGAGGAACATAGTTCAGCAAATGCTCTAACCACTCCAGGGCTGGTAAGGAAAGCTTCTTGTAGTTTTTTCGGCAAAAATTCATGATAAGTGTTTTTTTGCTTCAGTGGCGCAGTGTTTCGAGTCAAGTGCTTTGCTGCACAGGAGACATCATCGATGATGCACAATCGCCGTTATTCGTGTTCCCCGTCGCAGATCAGTGTATCCGCGAAGAAGTTGTTGCGCCGTTGTGGCCCCTTGCCTTTGAAGCAGGTCCGCGAGATGGTGAACTCCGAGCTTGGCGAGACTCTTGACTACCAGAAGTTCTTGCATGCGTTGCGAGCGTCTGCTAAAAATGGAGTTCCGCGGTTCATCATTGACGGGGAGGTAGTTGGCTTAGTGCAGAGCAACCTGGGATTCACAGCTGCAGTCCAGGAGCAATTAAGCAAGCGGACAAAAGCATTGCTTTGCAGCTGTGGCGGCGCCATGCAATTGGATGACATCGAGAAGCATCTTCGAGCCAACGGTTGCGTGTGGAGCAGTGAACAGCTCATCACATCTTTGCAAAGCTCTGCCAAGAATGGCGTTCCCCGCTACGTGTTTGATGGGGAGCTCGTCCAATTGGCCAAACGGCTTTCGTGGCGCCGAGAGCAAAAGGAAGCATCAAAAGAACTTGCAATGTTTTTGCAACAGGTCGATTTTAACAGCTGCCCGTGGAACATCGCCTTGGGCCTACGCAGCTTCAAAGGCAACAGTGAGTTGCTGAAGCAGGTCATACGCGACCAGAACCACGCTGACGGCCGTCCGCGTTTCGAAGTGCGCAAGCTTCGTGGATCAGAGTGGATCTTTGCGACGGAGTCTGTCAGACGGTACAGCTGCCAGGAGAGGATTTGGGGTTTGAGTCTTGGCGTGTCGTGTCAGCTATCGTGCGGCGTGTTGGAATTTGAAGCAAAGTAGAACAAACTGACAACATCTGCAACTGAAGTGTTTTCGGAGGACAGGCAGGAGGTGCAGATGTCCCCTCTTTCCATGTATCAAGTGAATCAAGCGGATTGCAGGAGAAGTTGCGCGAGCAAGCTTTCGAGGCCATCCGTGCGCTGGACGCGGCGGTGCAATCCAGGTCTTCGAAGCTGCTGGAGGAGTCCAAAGAGACTTGGCCTTACGTAATAGAATACAGATTCTGTAATCAGAACGCTAAGGCTTCAAGGGCAGTCGTAATTTCTCAAGCTTCTACATCACATCCGGCTCACAGGCTTCCACATCTACCACTCGACAGTCATGGCAGAGAGAGCATGATTGGATTGAGTCCAGGGGTTTGAGCAGTTTAAGCATCCAAGGATACAGCTGACATTTCAAAACTTGGACAGTTGATGCGAGATTGGATTTCTGGAGCCAGTTGGTTGACGTGCTTTGATCACAGCACACTTGTGGATGAGGTTCCTGGCATCATGACGCGGGTACACCTTTTTGACGGTACGGGCATCGAAGTGAGATTACACATGTTTATGGATCCGACAGAGACCTACATTCACAACCACCGCTCAAACTTCTTCAGCTACTGTCTCAGTGGGAGATACTGGCACAAGATTTGGGGCGTAGACGAATGCTCGGAAGAAGGTGAGCGCTACTTCGTCGTCAATCGCACGACAGATCCCTTGTTCGAGCAGCCCTCCGACAAGCCGGGAAGCGTAAGCGTCATCGCAGCTCACACGCACCAAGAGCGTTGCTCCTACTATATCAGGTCTGTGACTCCGCACACCGTCCAGCCGCAGATGGAGGGAGATCGGGCCACTCCTGTTCTCACCATCTACATCAAGGATAAGGCTCCAGGTCCCGATACCTTGGTCCGAGTTGCGAAGATGGAGGAACTCACAAGTCTCCGAGAGCAGCAGCAAGAAGCTCAAGATTGCCCTCTTCAGGGGCGCAAGAAGCTTGAGAGATTGAGGGCAATGCACAACCTCACACGACACGCGGACACGCTGAGGAAACGGCCCCCGCTGCGGGTGTGACCTGCAGGCCATCCATCAGATATCTGCCCAACCTTCACCTTGGATTTGTGTACAGCTGAGCATCGGAATTGCGACCCTCTTGGCAAACGCGGAAGACTCCCGCAACACTGCGTGTACAGTCTGCAGAAGGAGGCTGCAAAAGCTGGGGCGGTTTCTTCGTCGAGTCCGCAGAGTGCTGTCTGAAAGTCTCGCCCGGCTCCTGTCATGAAGTGCCTGCCCGTAAGGCACCTCTTTTGACATGTAGAGGCTGTCGTGTTCTTGGCTCGAAGGGCTCCGGCAGTCGCTCGATTTGTGAACCTTCCCAGACTACTCAGCGACAAGATGGCTTCCAGGCTCCTGGGCTCCTGCCCCCCCGGGGGGGGTTCCGGGGGGGGTAAGAGCTCCGACTTGTGGCTTCTTGTTTTGGGTTCTTCGGGCCTGAAAGTCAGGTTTGTTTTTGGGTGTGGAGCGTCTCAGACCGGCACTTGTCGACTTGTCGGGGTTGAGGCAGTGAGGTTTGCGCGGCGCCCAAACGAGGGAGCCGCAGAATTTTCGGGCAGAATCAGGAACCCCGTCACACTACTAAGCAAGACTTGAACCCAAGCCGCTTTGGGTTCACGGTTTGTCAGACGGTGGATGCAAAGATTGCCTTCAGGCTGCTTTTCCTACCAGGCTTTCCTTCCAAAGTTGGGGAATTACGACATCTGTGTCGCGACCTGAAGCCTGCATGCTCCTGCACGCCTCAATCAGGCTGTGAGTGCATTCCACAAGAGCATTGCACACGGTCGAGAAGGAAGTAGTCACCTGATTCAATCTCCTCTCACTCCGACAAAAAGGATATCACAGGGATCCGGCTTTGATGGCCTTTCAAGGGAGTGGGTTATCAGGGACAGAATGTCAACAGACATTTTGTAACACAGAGCCGCGCAGAACCGCCTCAACACCACCCAAACTCGTATGTCGAACCTCAGAACGTATAATCCTTGCAGTAGCTCTTGTAGAAAACCTTCTGCAAGCCTTGTATTGGCTTATGCAAACCCTCACATCAACTCTAGTAGTAACCCACATAGTTGTCTCATGCATAGTCTTGCAGTAATCCTCCCTGAAACCCCTGAGAAATGTCCGATAGAAACTTGGATTGAAGCCTTTATTGAACCTCATAAACCCTTAACCAAATCCGCGAGCAAATCCTTAATGATACCTTAAACCCAGACACCAAACTCTAAACCCTAAACCTCAAACCCAAAGCCTCATTGAAACCTGATTCAGCCGAACAGGTCCACGGCCATGGGGGTGACCCTCGGAGCCCTGGGCGCGGCATCCCTGGTGGGCTCCACGGTGGGGGCCCCCAGCCTTTTTTTTTTTTTTTTCTCNNTTTAGGGTTTAGGGTGTAGGGGCAGGTTTCAGGGTTTTATGATCCTCTTTGGTTGGGGGTTTAGGGCTTCTAAGAGAGTAGTGTACAAGAGCTACCACAATGGTTGCTGCCTTTGGTTGCCAATTAAATCTAGCTGTACAGGTTCTGCACAGGCTCATGGGGTAGTTCTCCAAATTAGGGTCCCTGTTTAGGTCCCCAATATAGTACGGCACCCTTCTATACAGGACCCTATCTAGAGAACGACCCTTATAGAAACCCTTATAGATCCCTTTAAGGAACCCTACAAAGGGA